CTTACAACACTTGGTATTCCCAAGCTATCACCCATCTAGCTACTGATCCAGTTCACCTTTGCTTAACTTCGGTGATCGTATGAGAACCTGTGTCTCAAAGTGATTTGGCCGTAAGTCATACCACCTGGCCGTCCAAGCTTACAGCAGTTGGTATCACCAAGAGTTCACCCATCTAGATACTGATCCAGTTCACCGTTGCTTACCTTCGGTGATCCTGCGAAAACCGGTGTTTCAGCGTGATGTGACCATAAGCTAGGAGCGGCCTATCTTATTCGGCTAATATTTTCATCGAAGTGACGTACCACGAAAGGTGGTTAGAGCTGGCATAAGCAAATGACGTGCTCCACATATACCGGTACATGACCACATGCAGAAATCTATGATGTACACGTCACCATGTGCAGATGTGGATCAAAAAAGTTAGTATTAATAATCTCACGTGAGTAGCATATTAATAATTCGTCCACGACTAAAAAAAAAATAAATAACGTAATTTGGGAATGGCATCAGTAGCGTGGTACCCAATGATTATAGAATCCTCTAGAGTAGCGATTTAACCGTAGGTCTCAAGAAGATGTATTTTATCAAATACCTACTTAATATTGAAAGAAATTAGCATAGTAGAACCGAAGTATCTGCGGTAAATATTACACACGGATAATGGCAAACCATGTATACTTGTTTTTTTTTTTTTGTTTTTGTTTTAATTCTAACTATTCACCCAGTATATTGCCCAAGAGCAACTCAAGATAGAAATTTCTGAATGAGGCAAAACATAAGAGAAAGAATTGCTAGTTATGAAAAACATGTCGTGAAGATAAAGCCTGAGCCTCGACTTGAATAAATACGATCATATTAGTTTTAGGCGACGCGTTTCGTCCAGTTTGGTCTTTTTGAAAGCAAAAAACGAAATTAATTTATTGCAATAAAGTATCTATAAACAACAAACAAAATGCCGTTAGCATCTGGTCAACTGAAAAATCATGTTAATTACCTTATGTTTGAAGAGAATATTTTCACGTGTAGAAATATCGTGTTCACAGATTCAACCGTTTTCTTTTGATTACTTGATATATCTGTTGTGTACATTGGCTTGGGAGTGTAGTGATTCTGTTAGGAAATGTGATATTAGGGGAAAAATCTTTTCTCTTCGCACATAAAGTAATTGACTTAATTTTTCAGTTTACCATATCAATATACAATAGCGTTTCTAAATTCTTCTAGTTGCTAACGACATTTTGTAAACGCTTCGACTGAAACTAGTTTTGCTGTTGTCTTTTTGCCTTTATAAATATTGTCTTTTTCTATAGGTTAATTCTTATATATATATATATATATATATAAAAAGGCTTAAACACTAATATTCCATGGTCATTTAAGCCATAGTGTTTAAGCCTTTTTATTATATCCTTACTCTGTTCTGGACATTGAGTTCTACCTGGATTCTATCCTCTTGGAATTTTTTTATACAAATATATATGTATGTGTATTTATGTATGTATATATATTTATACATTTTAGATATATGATTGCATATGTATGTGTATATTTACCACTATTATTATATATATATATATATATATATATATATATATATATATATATATATATATAATATTATTTAAAAATATGCATTTATCGCGACACAGAAATTACCATGTTTCGGAACTAAAAAGTAAACTTTAAAATAAATTAAAGTTTTTGTCCAAATCTCAAGCGTAAAAATAATTTACTTTGTTAAAGCTAAACATGAAGTTGGAGGGGGTTAAATATTACAGAATTTTAAAAGGGTGTTGCCTTTTTTTGATGAATCAGTGTACAAGTCTAATTTAAGATTGCAAAGTTTAAATATAGGCTAAGTGTTAGGTGTGGGTTTGTAATTTCTGCCTGTCGATAATGGCTTCCTTATATGAGAACGTGTCATCCTGTCTGATTTTATTTTTATTTAGTGGGAGCATAAGATACACTACAATACACTGCCATTTTTGTTTATTTTTTTTATTATTTTTTTTTTTTATAAAGTACATTATTATTGTTTTAAAGGGGCTTCAAATTGTATTAAGTCATATTTTATATATTTATATTTTATTTATAAAGATCTAAAATGCTATATTATTATATTTATTAGCATACTAGATTACGGTATTGTTAAAATTAAGATTTAAAAATTTTGGAATTTAATTACGCATTTTTGTAATTTCTTAATTGTGGGCAAATAATGGATATATAATTATGATTTTTTTATTTAATTATGTTTTAAAGTAAACATAATGCAGCGTCTACCAAAAGCAGTTATTTCTTTCCTTTTATTTTTTAAAACTTAATAATATATAACTTTAAAATATGGATTCTGACGAAAAGAAACAAACCTTCTGGCACGACACAGTGAACCACTTTTCCTTACAGCAAATGCAGCTGTTGATTCGATGTAATTGTTCCCCTTCAAGTCATTCGAAAGCATAAGCCCAAGAAGTCGCAGAGAGCGACTCTCCTTGAGTTTAGCATCAACCATGCTTAATGGTGGGCAGGGAATTATCTTCGTGGTGGCTAAATGAGAGCAGTTTCGTTTTGGAGGCATTAAAATTTACATCCCATTTCCTACTCCAGTTAACCACTGATTGAAGGTTCTTTTCCAGAGAAGCGGCCATATTGACTTTGTCAGCGTTGCCGGGTTTACTACTGAAACAGGAGTAAATGGTAGTGTAATAGTGTAATGCCTAATTAGGAGCTGATAACATCAGATAAGATCACTGATGAAGATTAGAATTAGTGTAGAACTCATGATAGAGTCCAGCAGAAACTCACCATTCATAAGGAAGCAACTGTAAGCGTGCAGGATCACAACTGACTTCATTCGACGATTTGAAAGGAATGATTGGATTAAATCAAATAGTCAAACTATAAAACCGTTACCCTAAAGCTTATGCAGAAGACCAACATGCCAAACTCTGTCCAATGCCTTCGAGATATTGTCGTTCTTATAAAGAGCACACACACACACACACATACATATATATATATATATATATATATATATATATATATATATATATATATATATATATATATATTCAGATATGACCGTGAGCACGTCAGCGGAAGACCGGGCAAAGCGGAATCGATATTATTTATTAGAGAGTAGGTCAAATACAACTTGTTTTGAAGTTTGGTGTTGTAGAAAGGTCTCTACTCCCCTAGAAATCTCGTCTGGTGCATTTATCTTTGATATTAAATTCTCTCTCTCTCTCTCTCTCTCTCTCTCTCTCTCTCGCTCTCGCTCTCTAATTGATATCTGTCTCTCTTTTACTAATACATTTTTATACAAAAAGAGTCTAACAATACAGATTTATAGTAAAATGATAAGCAATCCATTTCATCTAGAGTTGTAGGCATACAAATGTGTTCAAATTATTGAGATTTCGGCATTAAATAATCCATATAGGTAGATATGCCGCTAAAATTAATCCTGACCATTCATTTTCTCACCGACGTGACATGACTTGCCCCTGTCTGTTCTACAAATATTTTTATGACGGCTGCACTAACGAGTTGTTTCCCTGTTACCCCTACTACATGAATTTAAGCGTGCTACTTGATTGGCATCTAGGTCCCACTTATCTACTGTTGAAATAGTTAAATATAGCCCTCACTTCTACTCCAATATTTTATTTTCTCTCTCTTCCCGCCTTTTGAACTTCCTTCCGTTTCCTTTCTCCTCCGGTAAATACAATCTTTAAAAATTGAAATCGCTATCTTCTATTTTCTTGAATCTACTTCATCTTTTGACCTTTCCTTAATCCACCTACATCCAGTTTTTTCTTTCATTATTCACTCCCCATAACGCCCTCTCCGCGTACTAGTGGTATTCCCGCCCGGCTTGGGATGAAATGATAAGAAAAAAGAAAAAAAAATCAACCAAGTCCTTATATATTTCTATTTCAAATTATTTTCCTAATCCCTGTTAATTTTAGTGCCATTATCGTATGCGTTCTTCTTTTTAGTTTTTTTTTCTTACTCCATATCAATATTCGCCATCTTATTATTATGTGAGTAAGAAATATGGCCCGAAAATAATGTTGGATTACTTTGGCTTTCGCTGCCATTCCTGGCTTTAATTCTTCAAACCGTGACTCTTCGTCATATTACATAGAATTTTCATTACATTTGCTTGATTTTATAGTGATTATCCAAGGATAGATTAGATGTAACACAAGGCCGAATTCGATCCTGACTTAGATCGAATTCACTACTTGCTAACCATTACACCGCCTCGAGGTACCCACTCGCTCGATTTTATAAGGTACAATAGTCGTAGCATGTTTTCTAGGAGTGAGAGGTAGAAACAAATAGAGACGACGCATGTTAATCGGTTGGCCAAAATCTAATCACCACCTGTTAGTATGTCTCACTAAGGAATCTGGGTGAGACTAACATTTTGTCTTTTCTTTTCTTGCAGCTGTCTGCTTGTTTTCGCGCCTGATATGAAAACCTAAGGAAATGCCGTCCAATTCCACGCTCATGTGTTTTAAATCGATACTCACTCATTTTCTATTTTGCGCCAACCGAAGCATTCAGCACAGTACAAATATAAAAAAACCCTAATATATCCGTCATGGCATCCAGTCAAATAAGAGTATAGCAGGCACACGCGCCACAGCCAAACTTGTTTGAAATGGTGGCATATTGTGACGAAACCTTTCAGATGAGGTCCAGTTAGAAATAACTTTATTTTGGGTAAAACACGTTCAATCATTCGGCCTCAAATCTTGAATCTTCGCAGATATAGGTGTTTGATTCCCAAGTTGTATTTGGCTGCATCATCATTCAAGCTTTAAGCAATAAACTCTCGATACCTGAGGATGATGCCCTCTGTCTACCTCTTCTCATGATCAGAGATGTACAATGCTTCATCGCTTAGAGAAATGCCTAACATATTCAAATATGGCAACTGGTAACTCACTAAAAAACTGCGGCAATAAAAAAGATATTTACTGCATCCTATATTAATTCGACAAAACAAAATACGTACATATTTACACCGCTAATCAATTAAGTAAGATATTCCTGGTGTAATACTTGAGAAGTTATTATTATTATTAATAATAATAATAATA